AATCCATATTGCAGTCAGAGGAATCAGCAGGTTTCCAAATACATCCACAGCTTGGTTACACTCAGGGCTCTAGTCGGGGGGGAGCTCTCAGGTACGGAGCTCCGGAAGAGAACCTCTAGGGGGCGGGGCGGTCACGTGGTGAAGCCCCTCCCCCTTCTTTACCCCGCCCTCTGCTTCGATCCTCATTCCGTTTGGGAATGAGGATGAAGCAGGAGGGTAAGTAGCCGGGCCTTCTGACACACTTCCGGTGATGTCAGGGGGTGTGGCCTTCTGTCACTTCCGGTGATGTCAGGGGGCGTGGCATATGCAAATAAGTTATGCTAATGAGTTATGCTAATGAGCTCCGGCAGCTCTTTTTCTACAACAAGACCCCTGGTTACACTGCATCAACTAGTACTTGGGCAAAAGACCCAAGAAGACTCTTGGGAGTCTGAAGAGTAATTTATACCAGGTCCTGCAGGATAACTCAGGCCCCTGCCACACAGCAGGGAAAACACTGGGCAAAGCGCGGCTTCTAAAAGCCGCACCAAAAAAGAGACGCCGCGGCGGGATCCCATGATCCCCTGAGCCGCAGCGCCGTTGCTCCCCGGCACGATCAGATGCTGGGGAGGAAGAGACGAGTGGGAGGGGGAGGCTGCCGAACTGCGCATGCTCGAGCATGCGCAGTACAGCTGGGGGCCGGGGATGCGCCAGCGAAAAGACGCGCCGGCAATCCCACGGCTGGCAGTGATGCGGCCCTTCAGAAAGAACCACCTAGGTAGGTGGTTCTTTTTTGCTTTGGGTTTTGGCCGGGAGGGGCGGATTGGGAACGGGCTGGTAACGGGCGCAGCACGATTCCCAGATGTTGCTGTGGGATCGCGCCCGTTTGCTGCAGCCCCGATCCGTCCCTCTACTGGCCCAAAACCTCTAGTGTGAACAGGGCCTAAATTGTGTCTCTCAGAATCCTACCTGAGTGTCCTTTTAAAAATTCTCAGGCAAATCCAAAATGCTGGAAACAGTGTGATGGATTAGGCACATTTGCCCACTCCTGGTGGGAATGTGAGAAGATAGCGAAATTTTGGGAGGAAATAAAACTAATGGTTCACAAAGTTACAGGGTTAGTAATCTCAATAAAACCTGAAAGTCTTTTCCTAAAACAAATTTTGGGAGGAAATAAAACTAATGGTTCACAAAGTTACAGGGTTAGTAATCTCAATAAAACCTGATTGCTACATGTTGGAAAGACCCGAAACCTCCAACTCTGACATTGTGGTACCAAAAACTTTGGGATCAATTCCTTATGGATTCTGTCACCAGAAAAGTAAATAGCTCGGCCTTGAAACCTGTGGTTAAACCCATAATGGAAAAATGGAACCCCATTTTAGAATTCCTAGCATCAGAAGATATTCTACCTCCTTCCTGGCAACAAATGCAGAGATGGGTGTAATTGTTCTTGTGATATGATAAACAATATTGGATTGCTTTATTAACTGTTTCCTCGTTTATGCTTCTTTCATGCATGGTTAGTGTTTATACTTAGGTTTATAAATCTCTGTAATTAGTGGAATTTCTGATACCTCGAAAAGTTTCATGTTAATTTGACTCCGTTAATCTGTTTCAAAAGTTGGTATGAACTGTTCGGACTCTCGATACTTCAATGTGTAAAGGATCAGGTTTTTTTTTTCTAACATATTGGATTTACATTATATTTGTTATATGACAAAATAAATAAACTATATTTTAAAAAAAAAAAATTCTCAGGCAAAGTAACATTTTTTGCTAGGCAACTTTGTTTCCCTTGCCAAACAGGCCTTAGAATTAAAATGTCTTACATATATTTAGCCTGTCTGTAGAGCTCACTGTTTTTTCGCCAGCTTTGTAGTATCAAAGCCTTAGTCTGTTTCTGTGTACTAGAGAAGTGGGGGGCAGTGTTCCCTCTAAGCTGTGCACATGAGGGGCCACTCATTAACACAGGCAGCCCCGCTCAGTGGCAATCTGGAGCTCTGCAGTTGTCCCCCATTACAAAACTACTCCCCCCACACCTCCCCTTGGCTCCACTCAAAGCTCCTCCATTTCTCCTCTGCCAATGGAAGCCTCTCCTATCAGCCTTGATAGTGAAATGTGACCCTTCATGTTCAGAGGCAGTACATCTCAGATCCAAGAGACAAATCACAGGTAATTAGGTTTTTTCTAGTCATGCCAGCCACATGATCACAGAAACATCTTTGGACAGTGCTGGCTCTTTGGCTTGGAAATGGAGATGAGCACCGCATCCGTAGAGTCGGATTCGACTGGCTTTCGAGCAAGGGAAACCTTTACCTCTGAATGTAAAAGACATTTTGTTGTCTACTTTTGGAAATAGAAAAAATGTTGGACTTCTTGGACACCTGCCTAAGAACATGGAGTATAAGACAGTGTCTGAGCCTAAAACAGCAAATCCTGAAAATAACTTCCCCTTCAATCAATTTACCCCAAAGTATCCAGTTCCTCCAAGGTCCCCCCCCCTACAATTAATGCCCCATCAATGAATTTACCTCAAGAAACTCATTGTTCAGCCAGATTTCCAGTGCTTCCCAGTTTCCCCATGTTTCCTCACCACCTCAAGAAAACTTATCCTAATATTTCTCACCTAAACCAGCTTTGTTCCCTCTTTAGTCATGAAGCTCTGTCACAGATATTGTTGCTGACCGTGTTCTCCTGGCTCTTCACATCCAGTGTAAAGATGCAAGAGAACACAGATTTTTTTTAAAATAAAATTGACAGTTGCCAATCAGCAGCCAAACTGCCACCATGAGCCAGATTCACATTTTCTCCACAGCGTATGCCTCCCAAATACAGAAGTCTGCTGGTGGCAATCAGGGAGCATATACACTTCAGTCGCTATTGGTTGTCCAAGCCAGCATATTGGTGCTGACACTGGAACATCAGAGCATAAACCTCAACCACTACTTTAAAGCAAATAACAAAAAAGAAAGAAATGATTTTTAACTGAGCTCTGAATGACAGACCCTCTAATAGAAAAGGCACTCAAACCTCGTGACCAATGGCTCCCATAAACAAACTGTTATTGGTTTCTCCAGTAATCATACACATTGTATGTGCCTGTCAGTTCCCTATGTTCCTCTCAGTATTTTGAAATTGCCCAAATGGACTTTGCTATGGACTCTGAAATACATTTAGTGAGGGCTCCAGGGAAAGGACTTTCTGCTACTGTCTTCTCTTTGTTTGGTTTCCTGATTGATTCTGGAAGTCCCTGATAAGGAATTTTATCCTTGATTTTTCAACTTGTTAATAGCTATTGTTTTATTGTGAGTTTTTGGCTTTCTTTTTATCTGTTGTGAGCCAATATGGGCATGCTTGGTATAGAATAGCAGAATATAAATGATCTAAGTAAACCATACAGGTACATAAATGCATGAGAAATTTTGGTATGAGTTGTTTATTTATGCAAAAACAGCCATTAACATTTCTGAGATCACAAGTGCTCTTATTGAAACCACTATGCATACTAAAATGGCCACATGTAAGCAGATGGTCAAGATCCAAACTGGATTAGATCCAGACCGGGCAGTGCAAAACACTGTTCAAAAACTTCCAAGTTCTGGCATAAGGTTATGAAGCTATAACTGTATGCCATCCAAACACAGTTTTCATTCAGTGGTCTAGAGTATTAAGGGGTGGTTATGGCATCCTTGGCTGATATATCCCTGTTGAATTGCTGATAGTGTTGACTTCTTGGACCAAACTCTGATTGACCCTGAACCAAACCCTGAAATAAGAACCTCCTGGTGGTCCCCGACCTGAGGGAGGTCCAACTGTCCTCAACCAGGCCCAGGGATTTTTCGGCCCTGACCACTGCCTGGTGAACTCTCTGCCAGAAGACATCCATGCCCTGCAGGAGTTATTACCTTTCTTCAGAGCATGCAAGGCAAAGATGTTCGCCAGGCCTTTGGTTGAAGCAGCAACGAGGACAATATGGCATCTGGCGCTCTCACATATTTCCCCATCATGCCAACTTCCTTACTGTACATGCTGCATACATATTGTCATATCTTAACATCAGCATTTGCTTGCTCGTGTTTGAACATCCCTTGTTGTTATGATGAAATCACAACATGTCTTGAGCTTCTTATTAGATACCATAAGCCGTTTTGCCCAAGACATCAGAAACGCTTTGTTCAGTAGCTGATTTAATGAATGACTGTACTATCAGAAGGACTTTTGTTGTTGATTTAAAAAAGACCAAGATTAGACCCTGATCATTGCACAAGCATTTTACTCAGTCATGAAGTGGAGCCCCTTTACTATTCAGAAAATCAAGCCATTAAAAAAACCCCTACAAAACCAGTTGTTCCTCAACCCCAAAGACAGCATTTTTAATTTATGTCTCCCTATAGAAGAACTAAACAAAAGTTCAGTGGCATTTTAAAGTATAACAACTATATGTCCTTAGTCTTTAGGTGCTAACAACATTTAATTGTTAGACTTTCATTTTATTTTGCTATGACTAACACAACTACAGAAGCTGCGGTGGCTCAAGTGGTTAAGACGCTGAACTGCAGGCTGTGGAAGGTCGGTAGTTCAGCAGTTCGACACCCGAGTGTGCCGCATGACGGGGTGAGCTCCCGTCTCTAGTTCCAGCTCCTGCCAACCTAGCAGTTCGAAAGCAAGAAATTGCAAGTAGATGAATAGGTACCATTTCAGTGGGAAGGTAACAGCGTTCCATGCGCCTTGGTGTTTAGTCATGCCGGCCACATGACCACGGAAATGTCTTCGGACAGCACTGGCTCTTCGGCTTTGAAACGGAGATGAGCACTGCAACCCTAGAGTCGGATTTGACTGCCTTTCAAGCAAGGGAACCTTTACCTTTAACACAGCTACCCCTTTGCAATCCCTATAGAAGCACCTGGGGACAAATTATTTACAATACTGGACTCTTGGTAAATGTTTGGCCATTATTTCATTCAGCTCACTGAAAGGCATGAAATTAAAGAAACACTGTGTGAAAATGAAAATGCATGTTACTCACTTATAATTATGATAAGAATGACCGCACATACTATGCCCAGGATGATCATCATCTGAAAAGAGAATTTGGGGGTGGGGGGTGGAGAAGTGTTACTCTTGCCAGGGTGGTTTGAGAAGCTGCTGACTTTCTTCCAGTGTAGATATGTCAGGTTTTCCAGAAAACACATACATAGGCCCCGTTCACACGAGGCGATTTGGCCCGGGAACGGGACAGTTTGGGGCCGGATCAAACCGGCGCGATCACACCACATCTGGGAAGCGTCTTGCTTCCGTGGCCGAACTGTCCCTTTCCCGGGAAAACGCGCCTCAAACTGAACCACCTACCTCGGTGGTTCAAATGGACGAGGCGCCTCTTCCCGGGCGTCTGATCGCCGGCGCGTCTTTGCGCCGGCACAACCCCGGCCCGGAGACGAACTGCGCATGCTCAGGCATGCGCAGTTCGGCCGGCTCCCGGTTAGAGCCGTCTTTTCTCTCCGGTGTTTGATCGCGCCGGGGAGAAAAGGCGGCTCGGCCGGGGGATCCGTGGGATCCCGCCGAGCCGTATCAACGTTGGCGCGGCTTTTAAAAGCCGCGCTTTAAAGGGCTTTTCCCCTGCCGTGTGGCAGGGGCCATAGTACTGTTTAAAGGTCCGTGGGTTACTTCCACCATTAAATGCTGTGCCACAATTATGATCTGTTCATTCTTAGATCTGGACTCCATTTTAGTTTGCATTTATTTATCATTTAGGACATTTGGCAATTTTTCAAAGATAGTCAGGGCCTGGATGGGCTGCAGCAGCTGCACCAAAAGTCTTTCTACTGCTTACATTTTTTATCCCATTTTTAGTTCAAGTTGCTCAGAATGGTCTACCTCATAACAAGCCTGTGAGGTAAGTTAGGCAGAGAGATAGTGAATGGCCCAAGGTCAAAATATTGAGCAGCAGCAGCTTGAATCCAAGACCCACCAGTCCCACCCTCTTAATAATTACACTCACTCTCACTGGAAATCAAGTAACCCTCCAGCCTTGGGGATCCCACTGCTATTGGAGCTGAAACCTGAAGTGTAGTAGGCAAAAGGTATTGCTTTGTGGATTAGGGAAGAGCAAGAAGTCTGGGCTTCTAGTCTTTATACCAGCCCAGGCCAATCCAGAGGTTTCATATGGCCTTCCAATGTCAGGGACAGGGCCGGCTTGCTCACTAGGCGAACTAGGCATTTACCTAGGGCAGCCCGGCCCTTAGGGGTGCCAAACTGCACCCGCCCCCCTGCCAAAAGCCCCCCCGCCAAAAGGCCTTCCCGGGTTGCTGCCTTCTCTCCTGACAGCGACAAGGAGGGAGGGACCCGGCTGCCCGCCAAGGGCTTGGCTGGCGGCTCGTGACGCCTTCTGTGCCTCTGCCTGCCGAACAGCCCGATCCTCCCTTGGAGGCCACCCAGCCCTCCGGGGGACAGATGATGCGCTGTCTTCCTGATGAGGGGCAAGAGTCAGGGGCATTGGACTGAAGGCTGTAGAGCCCACCAGATGCCTGAGTAGGAGCCTCGTTTCATCAGTCGGCGACACACAGGAGGATGGGCCCCGGGCCCCAGTTGTTTAGTACAGGGCAGCCCTCGTGCCTGTATTGGAAAAGCCCTCTGGAACAGTCCAGTTCTGCATTGGGGGCAGAAAGCCTTCCTGGCCTCCTCAGGCAGCCCCTTCCTCGGGGGGGGGGGGGCGCAACAGAGAAGGCATAAGGCATGTGTGCCAGCGGGTGTCCTTTTTGCCCCTTCCCATGTTAGCCCCTGCAGAAAACCCTGCTCTGATGACCGAAGCTGTTGGGGTGGAGGTCTTGGTGGGTGCACGGGGGTGGTGGTGCTAGAAGGGATCCTCGCCTAGGGTGCAAAATAAGCTGGGGCCGGCTGCCAATTTTGCACATAGCTCTTTCTTTCCTAAAAAGGACTCTGAAACCACACCCAGTCAATACTAGATCACTAGGTTACATTCCAGCCTTGGGCTGTGCGGTTCCCTGACAGTGACCTACATATGTCAACTTAGAATGTTCACTATAGCTGACTCATACACGGCAATCTTTGCAATTGCATGTCAAGTTAAGTTAAGAATCAGGAGCTGATTTAGCTTTACAATAGCAAGTCTTACCTTACAGTTTTTCCACCAATATTTCCTCTTCAGCTTGGCCGCACTAGTTTCAAATTGTGAGGCACCAGCTTGCAATGCATCTGCCCGATTATCAAGCTCTGAAAGTTTCTGGTCTCTTTCTAGTACTTTGTCCACATTGACCCTCATTATGTCCACCACCTGAAATTGACACATCAAAAAATTAGAGAACCTATTTGTAAAACAGTGAAAAGTACAAGGGTGATCATTAAGACATGAAACTGCAAAGGATCACACGGATCATTTTTCTGTAACAATTAAGCCAAAGTTTCACATTTATTTGTGTTGAGCTCACAATACCAATACCAGAAAGTCTGTACAGGAAAGCAGAGGACTGACAGTTTACATGTTTTAAGATGCATTCCTAAGCACATTTAATGGTAAATGACTCTTGGTTGAAGTTGATTCTGAGAAAAACATGCAAAAACATGCTCGCTTAACAGCATTTGTTCATGGTGCCTTTCAGAAACAGGACATAAAACCATGTATTAAAAACACTGAAAGTTCAGTGGTGCAACCAGAATTTCAGACTTTTACATCTGTTTTATTTTGTTGTTTTTATTTTAATATCCCCCTCTCTGTTGCTTGATATGATTTCTTATTTCACTACATGACCCAAGTCAATAAGAGATCATACAATCACAGACCATGTAACCAGTCTGGTTTGGCCACATGATGCCACTAAGGGCAAATGACGTTACTGAGACAGAAAAGCATGTGTTCCCATTGCTGAGGTAATCCAGCTGTACTCGCCTTCCTTTCTTAAAGAGAATAAAACTTTGATGACTTTGATATGGCCTGGACAGCCCAGGCTAGCCCGATCTTCATCAGACCTTGGAAGCTCAGCAAGGTCAGCCCTGACTAGTATTTGGATGGGAGACCATCAGGGCCATGACACAGAGGCAGGCAAAGGCAAATCACCTCTGAATGTCTCTTGCCTTGAAAACCCTTCGGGATCGACTTGATGGCAAAAAAAATGGCTTGTTTATTGAAGTTATCAGGACATTCTAATTTCAACTACTGGTGTGAGAAGTGAGATAATCAAACTGAAAGACTTGGAAGATGAACATTGAAGTTGTCATGTTTGATGCAGCAATCTGAGGTCCCCCCCCCCCCACTCCAGGTCAAATGTTCTTAGACAATGAAGTACTAAACGTTTGTCTTTCCATAATTCCACTTACCCTTAAGAACCAGTTATTTTTCCATTGTTGTAAATAAACTGACAAGAGGACTTCTGAAGGACTGTCTTGCTTCCAGTTAGTTGAAATACAACAGTGTAATGGACAAATGTTTATAGACAAAGTCATGTATTTGCAGCTGAGTTTGCAATAAGAATTCTTGTTCATGGAATAAGAGTCTTGTAAAAGGCACCAGGCTACATGGTTCCCATGACACCTTAATTCCTGTTTGAGCCATAGTTGTGTATTCCGATGCATATTCACATATGGGAGCCTTTATGCATAAGTAGCACTTTTGGGGGCATTGAACGTTTTCCCCAGTATACTTTTCAGACTGTTTACAGCTACTTTCTTCCCCTTCCCCCTTTCTTGTTTGACATGATTTTTCATTTTCCTTCTCTCTATGACCTCATCCACCATAGGATCCCATAGCTGATGTGATGATGTCACAGCGCATAGCCAAACAGATTTGGCTGTGTGCTGCCATCACAGAGGGCCAAGGAGTAAGGATGCCAGCCTCCAGGTAGGATCTGGGGATCCCCCAGAATTAAAGCTCATCTCCAGACTACAGAGATCAGTTCTCCTGGAGAAAATGGATATTTTGGAGGGTGGACTCTCTTTGGCATTGTACCCCACAGAGGTCTCTGTCTTCCCCAGGCTCCATCCCCAAATCTCCAGGAGTTTCCCACCCTGGATCTAGCAACCCTACCAAGGAGGCCACATGGTTTCTACTGGGGAGGAAGGAAGGGTGTCTCCACAGCTGTGGTAACCAGTAGGTGCTCTTTCTTTTGCCACCCTGCACTGCAATGAAACAACAGTGCAGTAAGACAGGAAGCTGTGACCTGCTTGCCTCAGTAACAGGGATGCATTCCTTCTCTATTCCTGCACAATGCAAAAAAAAAAAAGGAAGCTTTTCAGGGAAGCAAAAGTGAAGTCACTAAAACTGGCTTCCTCCTTTGATTCAGCTCCATTTATTATACCATAATGACAACAAAAAGTCCTGCGGCACCTTAACAATTTTATTGTTACAGTTGTTGTTTTTTTAATTGGTGCCACAGGACTCTTGCTTTTGTTAGAATAGGCTAACAAAATGGTGAAGCCTCTGGAATTCATTTACAGTGATGGGGTTTTATGGTGTTTGGTGCCACCTAAGGGTTATGTTACGTATGGCATTGCATTATAACTTTCTAAATGGACCTTGTTTCCACTGATATCATATATTTATTGTGCAAGAGCACTCCCACCAACCCCCCCCCAAACCTGCCTCTGTTGCAAGCATATTGCATTTCCCCAACATTTGTTGTATGAGAACTTAGTGTAGTGAGAGATTCTTAGATGCTTCTCTTTGACCTGTGCCGCCCTGTGAAGCAGCAGCAGAAAGGGAATGCTAAGTCACCACCCGGTGTTGCCAGCTGATCAGGAAACACAAAAAAGGTCAATTTCTTGCCAAACATGAAAGAAGAAAACTCATTTTACCTTCTCCAGCAATTCTCTCACCTTCATAAATTTATTTAACTAGTCCGCTTAATTTAAACAGATCTACATGGGGGGCGAGTTGCGTGTTCTGCATTCCTGCGACTTACAGGGTGCCGTCAGCCTCCTGTGGCATCTCTACTGAGAGTGATGGGGGTTTGGTAACACTCTGGTCCTTCTCCTCTCCCCAGCTTCTTTTCTCAGCTTAGGAGAGAGTTACTGGTGTCTCTTCATTGGCTGCTTCCCACCCTCTTCTAAAGGCAGACCTGCAGGCTGCACATGCTCTGTAGGGCCTCCTGGCCCCCACAAAAAGGAAGTGGCTAATAGCCACTGATGGACCTCTGCTCCATATGCTTATCTAATTCCCTTTTGAAGCTGTCCATGCTTATAGCCGCCACCACTTCCTGTGGCAGTGAATTCCATGTGTTAATCACTCTTTGGGTGAAGAAGTACTTCCTTTTATCCGTTCTAACCCGACCGCTCAGCAATTTCATTGAGTGCCCACGAGTTTTTGTATTGTGAGAAAGGGAGAAAAGTACCTTTTTCTCTACCTGCTCTATCCCATGCATAATCTTATAAACCTCAGTCATGTCACCCCTCAGTCGTTGTTTCTCCAAGCTAAAGAGCCCTAAGCGCCGTAACCTTTTCTCATAGGGAAAGTGTTCCAACCCTTTTATCATTTGAGTTGCCCTTTTCTGCACTTTTCCCAAAGCTATAATAGCCTTTTTAAGGTGTGGTGACCAGAACTTCTATCATGATTAAATCTGGCCTCAAAGAATGGCAAGGAGGTGGTGCAACTGAAAAGGAGGAAAAGGTAGAAATGGGGGAGGAGCCACAGTTATATTGGCTGTCTCATTTGCACCCATTTCTCTGTGTGATGGTGGCAGCGGCGGGTGAGTGGCAATGAGGAGGAGGTGGCTCAAGAGAACAGAAGGCAGTGAGAACAGCAATGATGCAGTGGGTGGACCTTGGGCTCAGTTTTTGCAAGTGGTGATCCCATTGCTGCCCATTTGGTATGTTCTAAGATTATTCGAGGGGCCTGTTCATTCGTTCCTCCCCCAGGATATGCAAGAGAGTGTGCTTAGAACATTTTTTTTAAGTCAGAGGAAGATCGCATGGCGAAAAAGGGCAGGGAAAAGCGGCACTGTATGAAATGACCATAGCGCATCAGAGATGGCTCATTAATTGAAGGAAATTCTCTGTATGAAACCCCCGTCCCTATATCGCTTTACTCAAAATCGGGCAAATAATGAATAACATCCAGTTTAGAATGGTAATGTGAAAAGGGCCATAGTGAAGTCTCTCGGAACTCACCTCATTCACTTGGGCTTGTGTCTGTTGCAGCCTTCGATTGCTAGTCACATTGGTCTGGAGAGGGGCTCCTCCGGTACCAGGACCACCACTGGCACCCAAGGAAGGAGTTGGCACTGACCTAGTTTAAAAATGCAGCAAATATTACAGAATCTTATTGCACGTGCCTTTCATTATTGCTACAGAAGTCCACTTCTGTCAAGACCAGAGTTGCAACTATGTCATTTAATAATGCCGTACCTTTGGAAGTCTCTGCCCACTTCTTCCTGATCTGCTTTACTGGAGTAGGTGTGAGAAGTATTGTTGTAAAACTGAGAGGAAGGAAAAGCCAATGGTCTGGGCTTGAAGAGCTAGCAACCTGTTAACTAGGAAAGGCCCTCAGCACTCTCAAATTTCCTTTTCCCTGGAAATACCACTGCGTGTCCCTCCTTTCAGGAACTTCTTTACCTCCCCTGCCTATCCACTGATCTCCCCCAAGTCTGGTTTCTGGGGTACAGGGGACCTCCAGGAATAGCATGAGAGGCAAATTGGAGGTGTGCAGAAGGAGGGAGGAAATCAGCAAAAATTGTTAGCAGACATTTTTGTCAGGATCCACCTTTTATCAAATACATTGGCTACCATGCAAAATATCCGAGTGCTGGTTTGGTTGGTGTTTCCACTATGCAAAACTCTAGAGGCTGTACTGCCTTCCCACACAGCATATGCCCTCCATATCCTGTCTAGGTTGGTGGTCTAGTAGGTGGAACAAAACTGGAGTGATATGGTCCCTACAACCCACTCCAGTCAACTTTCTGGCTGTAGCATTCTGTACCAACTGGAGCTTCTAGACACTCTTCAATGTCAGCTCCATGTAGAGCACATTGCAGTGGTCTAATCTAGACGTTACTAGGGCATGCATCATGATGGAAAGGCAACTGGTTTACCAGCTGAAACTGGTTTAAGGCAGCCCTGGCCACCGCTGCCACCAGTTTATCCAACAGGAGACCAGGGTCCAGCAGCAACTCCAAGCTATGAACCTGCTACTTTAGGGGGAGTCCAACCCTGTCCAGAACAGGAGACATCCCAGTTCCTTGATCAAACCTCCACCCTCTCCAGTAGCATCTCTGTTTTTCTGGGATTAAGTTTCAGCTCTGGAGCCCTCATCCATCCAAAAACTGCCTCCAGGCACCTGTTCAAAGTTTCTATAGCCTCCCTGGGATCTGCTGTGTTGCTGCAGCCATTGCGCTGTGTGACGGACAGGCTAGGTTCAGCCTCTCCCTAAGAGCAGCCCATGAGAGCTGACAGAACATTGAGAGCAGGAGACTTGGAAACAGCAGCTGAAAGGGTGACAGGCAGGGGGAAAGCAGCAGACCAGTAGACAGCCTAGCCGCTGAGGTGAAAAGAAGGTTTTCTGACTGAGGGGAACTGGATAGAAGAGCTGCTTGGAACAGGCTGGAAATAGTAAATTTGGAACTAAAGGATCCCAGTTGTAGGTATAGGACCTTAGTTCAAACGTTTAGTGGAAGCGAAAGGTTGTTTTTCAGACTTTACTTTCTTCCATGTTTTGTTCCTATAAATAAAAGTGTATTGTTTTGATTAACCCTGTGGGCTGCGTGTCTAAGGGAAAGAAATACACACAATTTAATATCTCGGCCTGTACACATATGTTATAGGATATGAATGAATGGTGGCGGCGAGTGATTGGAAGGATGGTTGAGCCCCAACCCCAATACCTCTGCATGAATGAGGGCTGATTATTAAAGGGGGCTGGCCTACCCTGTCTGTGGATGTCCCTGGGAGTGAGGGAGAGGACCTGAGGTGTGAGATGGTCGTAATTCTCTGTAGACTTTTAAAATCCTCACATATATGCATCTGTTCAAAGTTCCATATAGGGATTTGGGAATATGTGAAGCATCACATGAAAACATGAAACTATCTTGTACTGAGTCAAACCATTGGTTTATCAAGGTCAGTCTGACTGGCACTGACTCTCCAGTGTCTCAGGCAGAGATCTTTTATGCCACCTACTACTTGATCCTTTTAACTGGAGATGCTGGGGATCGAACCTGGGACCTTCTGCATGCAAAGCAGATGCTGTATCATTTAGCCCCTCTCCTACACCCAGGTCTCCAGCATGCAAATCCAGTGCTTTAAATGCTAAACTATATCCTCGCTCTCTTTCGTTATTAAAAGAACATGTAAATTTGCCAAATTTCTCTAAAAATGAACAATTTATCACATTGCTTTAATAAATGGAAACACATATTTGTTTCCATTCTAATTAAGACACAAGACAAGTCTTTGCCTGCCACAAGCTTGTTTTTCCACAAACATCCCCTCAGTGAACTCCGACAGATCCAATCAGTCCTAGTGGCTGAACACAGGCCAGTGAGCTTTCCTAACACCCACTGGTCTGATGGTTCGTAATGATTCCTCACTCCCACACTGCTGTGACTCACTGTCTTTTCTGAACCATGTCTCACCAGTTCCTCCTGCAGAGGGGCATAAAGTACTGCCTAGACCTGTGAAGGAAATCCCCATGCCTCTACAAACAAACAAACCCCCCACCACCACACAAAAACCCTTCCTGCACAAAAATCCCCTCCCTACAGAGCTGATATCTCCCCCATAATGACAGACCAAGAAAACACCATCTGTATGCATCATTCCTCTCCACATCACCAGAGCCCTGATGAATAGTGATGAAATTGTGCACCAGGTTAACAAATAATAATAATAATAATAATAATAATAATAATAATAATAATAATAATAATAATAATAATAATAATAATAATCACCAGAACAGCTTATGTTTCAAAGAGATACAAGTGCTTCAGGTGAGTTCTACCCCTTTCCCTGCTACCCTCCCCGTCATGTGAAATCCTATGCCCAAGTCCAGCAGTCTCTCAATATGTACATGCATTTTTCAGTCTCTCTGGCTGCTCTTGCTGCATATCACCCATTTGCTTGGGAGTGATGACAATTCCTTTATCAAGTTTCTGTTCAGACAAAAGAGCCTTTAATCACAGATAAACAGCATGTCCATCAAAACTCCTTTGGAAGCCTGGAGGGGGCAATGTTATGATCTCATTCCTGCTAAAGTAAATGCAGAAAATGATCTGGACCAACTTTGGCACAGCCAAAAACACTTGACAAACATATAGAGAATTCACTTGTCAATCCCTCCTCTCTTCTGTTAGGAACAAGAGGCAGAGCTGTAGTCATTCTTTTCAGACTGAGCAGACTGGCCCACTACTCTCCTGCCTTCCTCCTTCCAGAGTCTGGTGCAGGCAATCATACCCTGGAATCTCTTTTTTCCTTCTGCCACCAGGAAGTGCGGAGAGTGAGTGCTGGAAGTGATCCTCAGCCACCACCAGGGCTACCTTATGCTCCCTGCAGCAACCCCAATCCTTTTCCTTGCCTTCCTCCAATGGCATCTCTGACTGAGTCTGATCCCACAGCCTGGTAGTTGTGGCTAAGGCTGAAGAGAAGCCACCAGAGGAGTGGAAGGGAAAACATCGCCAGGGTGGAATGGGAGTCCGGCCAGTGCTCTGTGAGGTGAGTGGAAGATGAACAGCTTCCAGCACTTTTAGCCCCTGCATCCCCACTTGCAGGAAAACAATCAATCCTGAGCTCTTTGGTGGACATGGGCCTCCCCATGGCATTTACTAAATGGCCCAGGTGGGCTACATGTAACATCTTGACTTACAACCCATCTGTTTTTTTTTTCATTGGATTTCTTGACTGCCCTTCCACGCTTACACAGGGCTCAGGGTGGTTTACAACAGGATAGTTCAAATACAAATTATAAAACCAATTAAAACCACACGCCTACAATATTAAACAAACAACATACATATTTAAAACATTCCAAGAACAGATGGCATGTCTAGCATTCAGATGTAGGAAACTGCCACTAGTTTTTTACTCCCAGGCCTGATTTATCCTATCTTTTAAAAACATGTAATATCTAGCCTGAAGAAGTGTTCTGGTGCATTTGAAAGCTTGCACAATGTTTTGTGTCAATTTGGCTGATCCCAGTAACAGCTATTATGTAAATTTCTTTCTTGCTTCTGATTTCCTCAGGACATGAACTTACCCATGTGACCCAGTGCTAGAAATCTGTCTCTTGGGCAGGCATTTCATTGGTATGCTAATTGGTATGTGGGATACACAGAGCCAATGCAGTGTTGGACTAGGAGCTGGAAAACCCAGGTTTGAATCCCCGCTCTGCCATGGAAGCTTGCTGGGTGACTTTGGGCCAGACACACATGCTCAGCCTAACCAACCTCACAGGGTTGTTGTAAGGATTAAATGGAGGAAAGGAGGAAGATGTAAGGTGCTTTGGGTCCCCTTTGGGGGAAAAGGTGAGATATAAATAAATAAATTAAATTAAAAATGTATTTAAATTTCTCCTTGCCCTAAATTTCTCCTTGTTTAAAGTGATACAGGACAGCAGCAGACAATGGCAGGCAACTGAAGCAGAGAGGAATTGGTAGGGGGACGTTTGGTGTGTTCTGGAGGACAAAAAATCTTGAATCAGTTTTTAATGGAATTAAACTGATTGCATGGGAAATATTCAAGAGATGTGTGAGAACACCAAAATATATAATGTTTAAAGATAAAAGACTCTGTTTTGCAAAGGTAAGAAAGAAAGGCTGCTGATGTATCTAATAGGATCAACAGTATGCGTGTTGTTCCTTGTCAAAATCTAGGTCACCAGGATTGCAACACAGAAAGAAAAAATAGGAAAGAGAAAGATTTCCAAGATGGTTCTTAGTACCATACTTGGGTTGAAAGCTATATTACTATGCAGAGACCCAGCAGCAAGTGCTGGTTCCTTTCCAAGATGCTTCACCTTTTGCTTTGAGAAATTAAGGAGCAAAGCCAGACTGGTCACTAGGAGATCCCCAAGATTCATTTGGCATAGAGATTATCAGTCTCTGTTTTGTGTCTGTATGTCACTGTAATGAAAATCTATTCTTTAACGGCAGGTTGATTGTTCTTCTGGATGCCTGCCTGCAACTTATTACCGAGGGTGATTGCCATCAGTGTAGTATGGAATATTTCAATTGGCTGCCAGGATTGCAATGATTCTGCATGGACTGTAGTAAGACCCAATGCTAACAAACACGCCTTGGTGTGCTGTGAGAAATGAAAAGCAGCTTATGGGAGGATTTACAGTTGCTTTGTATATAAGCCAAGATACTTATTCCTGACTGTCATCCCACACCCCATCAGCAGGGATGGATTTTCCCATGCTAGGTGGGATTTACCTGTTGTCCAGTAGTAAAGCTGACTTCAAACAACACGATGCAAGTAAACTGTAGAACTGTATCTGTGCCATGTGTACCAAATCCTCTTTTTAATCACATGCAATGCTCCCACAGGCTGCATTTCACCAGTGCAGTTATCTTATGTGCAAGCAATAGCTATTGCTTTTCAATTTAAATATATAAAAAGAGATAGACAAGTACTTCAACACAGAAGAGTCAACAACCAATAATACTTTTAAAAAGATCTCTACAAAATGGCCTTTCTTTCTGGGAGCATGGGTATCAGCCCTGCTTGTGTTCATCATCCCTCAAAGAATCAGTCCTGGACAGACATGCTGTGGCACTGAAGCCCACAGCTCCATTCATTCAAATAAAAGGGGGAAGCCTGCTGGCAATGGAGAGCATTGTGCTCCTTGTCACTAATGGTGTCCCAAGAGCGATCTAAAGATGTTTGCAACCATCACACAACCACATTGGATATGGAAACCACCAGAGGTCATTTCGGGGGGGAACGCGGGAGAACGCAGTTCCCCCGGGTGAGGTGCAGGGGGGCGGGGCACATGACGAAGTCACCTGCTCCAGTCTGGTTCCAGTTCAGACCACTTTATTTGTTTATTTACTTCATTTATAGACTAGTCTCATTGAGACTCAAGGTCTATTATGCAGTGTAAGTCAACACAATCAACAGGATGAGGAATCTGACAAGCAATGCAATAGGATTTGGATTACCAAAATCTTAAACAAAGTAAAAAGTATTAGATCTGATGTGTCGAACAACATGGAAAATAGGACAAAGTTTGAGTCCAGTGGCACCTTAAAGACCAACAAAGTTTAATTTGTGCATGCACATGAAAGCTTATACCTAGAATTAAACTTTGTTGGTCTTAAAGGTGCCACTGGACTCAAACTTTGTTCTTTTCATGGGTCAGCCTGAGACAAGCAATGCTGGGGACGCCTCAGTTGAAGGGGACTCCTTAGGTGCAGAGCAGCTTCATGTAGTCAGCCTGGAACTAAGGGCAGAGGAGCTATAGATAAATCAAGGCTTACAGCCAGCAGCTGACCCAGAGCCACTAGCACCTAGTCCTGATGTAGCAGGTGAGACCCAGTTAAGTGAGATCAGTCCACCAGGCTCTCCTCACCCTTTGGGCACCAGAAACAGAAGCTTAGAAGAGAGCTGCCAGCAAGGAGGCAGAGTGCATGTCTCCTGGCCCGCCACCAGCTGCTTGCTGAGTGGTTGCAGCAGTACTCCCAAGCAGCTGGCTGTTAACAAGGGCTTCTTAGGAAGTGCTTATAAAACCCAGTGCTGGGAGCCTGCAGGTTGTGGAAGCAACAAGTCACCAAGCTTTTGATTCAGTGATCACAGTGCTGAACACTGCTCACCCCTGGACTGGCTCTTGACTCTGAAATCTCTCTCCCTGCACTTGTGAATGACCTTGGACTGATGTACTTTGCTTCCTGTATAATGCTTTGAACTGGACTCTACTCTGTTGGTAACTGACCTTTGGACTGAACTTTGACACTGATTCTGGAATTTGGCTTGGACTGACACTAGATCCTGACAGGTCTGTTGCTTCAGACCAACATGACCACCCACCTGAATATGGAAAATCGTATTACAGAAGTCGGAAACAATGCCGTAATAGCAAGATAATGCATGTAAGTTATGTAACAGTTGATACATAGTCTACAGTCCAGTTCTTTAAATAAAAGCAGCTCCCTGAACCATTCCATTATTTTAGAGCCCCATTTCCTTTATAAAAATGCCCTCCTAAACAAACAAACAAACTGGCTCCTTACCATAAGGGAAAGGCAGTGTGAAACAGCTGTCTCTGTACCAGTTTACTCCATTATGGGCCTATAACGGAAGCCATTCATTTTAAAAAAGGTAATGTGAAATTGACCATAGTGTGTGGAACGCCAGGAATATAGGAGCCTTCTTGACTTCCTCAAGCAGCCCATTCCACAAGCAGAGAATACCATCTATGGGTGTTTGCTGATCTCTCCCATTTGCAGGGTGGCACCTTCAGAAGTCTTTGCTCAGATGAGTACATGATAATCAGTACCTTGAACTGAACTCAGTAACTGATAGGTTGAGGTTCATTTTATATGTGTATGCCAACCAATTCCATCGTGGTTTCTATGGGCAAATTTAAATATAAGAACCATTGTAACAGTCATTTGCACACAGCAGAGTGAT